AGACTTTTTTTTTTTTTTTTTTTTTTTTTTTTAGAAAAGGAAGATTGCAAAAGACAGGAAATTATTTTGAAATGATTTTTGTCCCCAACTATGCCAGTGCTGGAGAAGGAAGGGCATAAACAGAGGTGGAGGGAAAAAAATCACATGAACAGAAACGGCGATTGTGGTGAGTGGCCCCTGGTTCTCAGACAAAGCCTCTGCCCTGTGAAAACGCAGAGAAAGACTAAAGGAGGGCTTGGGAGTGAGAAGATAAGGAACCAGCCATCCCCTCAAGGCTTGCAGGAGGGGCCGCCTGCAAGAAACAAACAGGCAGAAAGGCACTTTTCATCTGGATCAAGGATCCAGCAGAACACACAGTATTCTAAGACAAAGATTCTAACTAAGCCACCAAAAAGTGTCATAAATTGAAGATGAAGAAAGACCTGATTAAATATACCTCCTCACTGAAACCGGTTTGGCTCAGCAGTAGAGTGTCGGTCTGCGGACTGGTCAAGAGCATGTACATTGGTTGCGGGCACATCCCCGGTGGGGGGTGTGCAAGAGGCAGCTGGTCGATGTTTCTCTCTCATCGACGTTTCTAGCTCTCTATCTTTCTCCCTTCCTCTCTGTAAAAAACAATAAAATATATATTTTTTTTTAAAAGAAGAAAGGGCAGCTTGAATAAAAATTATTAACTATACCTCCTCAAAATGCTGCCAGTAGCAAAAGGGAAGAAACCTCTACTCCTGCTTGAGCAGATCTTGGTGGAAGGATATGCAGCCACTATGAAATGAGGTTCTGTAGAAAACAGCCACTGCCTCCAATCATTTGAAGAGCCACAGACTTGGAGAGGCCCACAACCTCAATGAGCATGAAATGCTGTCTTATATCTGCATAAGTTATTTCTTAAATGTCCCAATCTGCATGCCTTTTATATCTGCTGAATCTCTACTGCATTCTTGCCATGGTGGGACAGATGAGTCTTCTGAGGTCACCAACGACTCATCTGCCTGTTCAGGCACAAAACACAGTTATAACTCTTAAATCTAGCCACCTTCCCAAGGTACTTCCAGGCAGTGACCCCTGCTCCTTCCTGCTCTGGAAGTTCCAAACTTCACCCTCTTTTTTCACCAGCCAAAGTGGGTCTCCTTGCTTTAGGGGAGAGGCTCTGCTTCTCTCAAACAGTGTGTGCACCCACAAGTCACATTCTCTTTTGCTTCTTCCCCCCAATTCTATAATTTCTCCAAAGATATTAGGGTTAGGGAAACGAAAGTTGGAGAAAGTGCAGGAAATGTACTTGTTCTACTCTGTCAATATCTCACCCAGGTAAAGAAGTACCAAACTGGCTCCCCACTTGAGTGTGGAAAGGGGAAATAGGAAACCAAGAAGCAATGAAAATATGTAAATTAATATCTCAAAGTATTAACTAGCATAATCTCCTAGTTTTAAATTTTTGTGTCCTCAACAAAGAAAGTTTATTTTTTATTTATTTATTTATTTATTTATTTATTTATTTATTTATTTATTTATTTTTAGTTTCTTACATTAGGCCTTCTTTTTTTATTTTTATTTTATTTTTTATTTTTTAAATCAATCTTTATTGTTCATATTATTACAAAGGTTCCTCATTTCTTCCCCCCTCCACCAGGTTCCCACCCCACCCTCCACCCCCTCTCCATCCCCCATTGTCCTCATCCATAGGTGCATAGTTTATGTTCAGTCTCTTCTTCCCTCCCTTTCCCCAATAGTAAATCCCTTTTCAGATAGCAAATCAGTTACTTAGCATTTTCTCATATCAATAATACCTCCACATGCCCAATGATACACTTCACACAAAAGACATTTCCCAATAGGTCCACCAGCCTCATCCAGGCCCCACCCAAGGCACTCACAGATCAACACCCTGGCCCTATACTAACTCAACACATCCAGATCTAAGCCTTCATCACTTGATACAGCAGACCCTCAAGTTCCCACAAAAGTTTCCAGCCATGTCTGAGAGGCAGCTGTGGGGCAGGGGCAGGCGAGGAGCGAGCTGTTCAGGGCCTGGCTGCTCAGGGCCTGGCCTATGTTGTTCTGGTTCGTTCCACAACCAGCTGCTCCGGGTCTGGTCACTACCGCTCCCGACCTAGTTGCTCTGGACTTGGCTGCTGCTGCTCCGGGCCTGGCCGCTCCCAGCCTGGCAGCCGCTGCTCCGGGCCTGGCTGCACCCGACCCGGTTGCTCCCCCGGGCCTGGCTGCTCCCAGCCTGGCAGCCGCTGCTCCGGGCCTGGCCACACCAGCCCCGGCTGCTCCCCTGGGCCTGGCCGCTCCCAGCCAGGCAGCCGCTGCTCCGGGCCTGGCCGCACCAGCCCCGGCTGCTCCCCTGGGCCTGGCCGCTCCCAGCCTGGCAGCCGCTGCTCCGGGCCTGGCCACACCAGCCCCGGCTGCTCCCCCGGGCCTGGCCGCTCCCAGCCTGGCAGCCGCTGCTCTGGGCCTGGAAGAAAGTTTATTTTTGATCTATATTTAACTCTTTGAATAGCCTAGAGTCTGAATTTTTAATTTCCTTCCTTCCTACCTTCCTTCCTTCCTTCTTTCCTTCCTTCCTTCCTTCCTTCCTTCCTTCCTTCCTTCCTTCCTTCCTTCCTTCCTTCCTTCCTTCCTTTCTTCCTTCCTTCCTATTCCTCACCCAAGGATATTTTTCCATTGAAAAATATTTTTCCATCCTCTCTCTTTTAGAAAGAATAGAAGAGAGAGGAAAAGACAGAGGAAAACAAACCGATTGGTTGGCTCCTGCACACGCTCTGACCTGACCCAAGCCTGGGAGAAGCCTGCAATCTTGACCTGAATCAAACCCAGGACCCTTTGGTCTGCAGGCCAGTGTTATATCCACTGAGCCAAACTGGCTCAGGCTGAGTTTTTAATTTTCCAAAGCAGTAGGCACTCTCACTGACTCCCCAATATTCCCATTCTGTTCCATGAATAATTTAAACAATTCAGGGCAACTTACCCCTTTGTCAGTGATTAGTTCAGGGATGGGCAAAGCTAATTTGGGTTAAGGAGATTCAAGGAGAGCCTTGGTAAGGGCAATGGGAAAGAAACTCCCTTAGTCTTTTTAAAAAAATATATATTCTATTGATTTTTTTACAGAGAGGAAGGCAGAGAGATAGAGAACTAGAAACGTCGATGAGAGAGAAACATCGACCAGCTGCCTCCTGCACACCCCCTACCAGGGATGTGCCTGCAACCAATGTACATGCCCTTGACCAGAATCGAACCCGGGACCCTTCAATCCGCAGACCAACACTCTACCACTGAGCCAAAACGGTTCCAGCTCCCTTAGTCTTTAATGCCCTGGAAAGACAGGCTCTTTCTTCTCCTTTAGTGGGGAATGAGGAAGCACAGAGTTCCCATTGCTTCTGGCAGTCACGCGGCACCCATAAAGATAATTGGATTTAGGTTAAAGTCAAATCTGTGGATGGCAGAGCAATGAGACAGAAGAACCTGTATCTTGATGTTCAATTATGGGATCCTGCCCTAACGCTTTTTAAACCAGTGGTGAGTTGGCTTTTCAGTGACTTGCTGCCAATGCATCCTTCTTGATACAGAATTTGGTGCCAAGAATAAAAGTGATGCAAATAACAGACTCAGTGGGTTGACATGCCCACGTTCCAACCCCTGGGGTCCATGAATGTTAACTTATTTAGAATATAAGTTATTTGCAGATGTTACTAAGTTTTATTATTTTCAAGTTCAGCCGATGTTGAAGAGACACAAAGACATTTTAATAAAAAATTTTCACATTTACCTTTATTACATGACCATTCCTCAAGATAAAAAAAATAAAAAGTCTTTTTCAATAGAATGTCATATGGCTCAGAAATTTAAGGTATATTTTTAAAAAATCAGTTCCATGACTTATTTCACAATGTTACTAATTTCAGACATGTATTCTCCTATAACTGAAACCCTAGCCTGGGGATCTGAACACCTGAGTTCTGTCTTGGTCACTGCGCTGCGGTGGGGGTGGGGAGTAAGGAGTTGGGGGAGGGACTTTGAATGGGGCACATCCTCCTCTGAACATTATGACTTCTCTGGGCTACCAACAGTTCCCGAGTGCCTAGGTGCCTCAGGACCTTCCAGGTTTGTATTACAAATGCAGATTTCTGGGCCCCATCCCAAGTCTATAGAATAATATTTTCTGACGTCGAGGCCTAGGAATCTGTATTTTTAATTAACCAGGAGAGTTTGGGAACCACTGAATTAGAAGATTTTGTTATTTGTGTTTTCTTTTATCGTCATTTGTCTCATCTTTGCTACTAGACACTGTAGTAGAAAGCAAAAACAAAACCACAAAACAAATCAAGACCATGATTTAATCATCGTATAACCTTCCAGCCCCTACACAGTGCCTGGTTTGTAGTAGGCACTCAATAAATATTTGAAGAATTAATTAATGCTGATGAAATAAATAAATATTATCTCATGTGGATCCTAATCACCTATGGATAGAGGAGCTTAAAAGACAGAAAAATATTATAAACTTTTGCGTGGTTAATCTTATACTCCCTATTATTAACCTTGTCTGCCTTACTACATACTTTAAATAATGGGTTATCTGAAAGAGGTTAATGGGTTATGTGAAAGAGGTTAATGGTTGAGATTCTTCGGTCGGCTGGATTATGTCACAATATTTCCAAGTGGCAGTGATAACTGAGGGAGGTGTGTGATGCAGCAGGAACTAGTTATCCTCCTTGATTTTTCCCGGTCCAGAAAAGGCTATCTTCTGACCAGGTGACAGAGGTTCTTGGGACCATGCTGTGGGTCTTTGAACTTACAAAGGCGTCTCCGGTTTCTGTGTTGCTCAGTGAGTGGGAAAAGGGTTCCTCTTCTGTTAGAAATTACCCATAAATTCACCAGCAATGGGCGTCAGACAAGCAAAGTACCCCCAGAATATCTGATGCCACCTCTTATGACCCCTTAGTCCCTTCTCCCAGGTCCCTCCTCTGCACTCCAATGACCACTCCTTCGGCTTTCCCGGCTCAGACACTGTCTGCTGGCTTTGGAAGGTACCGGCTCAGGATGAAATCTGTCACAGGGGTGGGCAGCTTAGCCAAGGGGAGGTAGAGGAGCTTGGCATCCAGGCCAGGGTTGTAGCGGATGCGGGGGCTCCGGGAAACGATGGCGTGTTCCATGCTGTTGACGACATCTCTGATTCTTGGCTCTGCCATCATCATCATGTTTGATAGATTGTCAGAATCTGTTGGAGGGAGGGGGGGGGAATAAAAGGCTTTATTGTTCTTCATTAAAAATGGTTCCTTCTTTTCATCCAAGCTCTCTTTCCATCACACCCTTTCAGGCAGAGGAACCACACCCTCCAGGTTCACCTTATACAAATACCCTGTAAATAATATAATTTCTCTTCTTGAATTCAAGAATTGTGTGTTGCACTAATTCAATATGCTTCCAAGATATGGAAGCAACCAAGTGCCCATCAATGTACAAGTGGATAGAATATATACAATGGAGTATTACTTGGCCATAAAAAAGAATAAAATCTTACCATTTAGGACAACAGGAATGGATGTAGAGGGTATTATGTTAAGTGAAATAAATCAGACAGCTGAAACTGGTTTGGCTCAGTGGATAGAGTGTCAGCCTGCAGACTGAAAGGTCCCAGGTTCGATTCTGGTCAAGGGCATGTACCTTGGTTGTGGGCACATCCCCAGTAGGGGGTGTGCAAGAGGCAGCTGATCGATGATTCTCTCTCATTGATATTTTTAATTCTATCCCTCTCTCTTCCTCTCTGTAAAAAAAATCAATAAAATACATTTTAAAAAATAAGTCAGACAGAGAAAGACAAATACCATGTGATTTAATTTATATGTGGAATCTAAAGAATAAAATAAATGCACAAAGAAAATAGAAACAGACTCATAGATACAAAGATCAGACTGTTGGTTGGCAGAGGGAGGCAGTGTGGAGAGTGAGATGAAAAAGGTTAAGGGATTAAGAATTACAAATTGGTAGTCACAAAATAGTCACAAGGATATAAAGTACAGCAGAGAGAATATAGTCAATAATATTATAAAAGTATGTACAGTGCTAAGTAGTTACTTGAAATATAAGGGGGGATCATTTTGTAGAGTATATGATTGACTAACCACTATATTGTACACGTGAAACTAATATAATATTTAATGTAAACTGTAATTGAAAAAAAGTGTATTGAATTCCTATTATTGTGTTAGACTAGTAACAGAAAAACTGTGCCACTTATTCATTGTGTGACCTTGAGCTTAAAATGTCATCATCTGTGAAATGGGAATAATAATACCTGTACTAGAGAATATGGTAATAGCAGGGTAGACAGTGGAAGATGACAGAATAGAAAACAAATGTATGTAAGTGCATAGAGAAATTGGAAGGAAGGAAGTAAAAATATTGTCTGGCTAGTAAGATTCCCAGTTACTGGAGTATTTTTCTCTCCTATTTACTCTCTAGAGTTCCTGAATTTTGTACAAAAGCATTCAGGAAAAAAATGTTATTAGAAAATAGTAACATTGCTCTGGCCTTTGTAACTCATGCCTTTGTCATTCCTTCACTGGATTTCTGCAATAGCCTCCCAGCTGGCCTCATGTCTCCAACCTCATCCTTCCCACACACAGATCTGATCAGGTCAGGTCAGAGCCATTTGAAAGGCTCTCCAATGCCTTCAGGATAAGAGTATCTCTCCTTAGTGGAGCCATCAAAACCTCCCATAGCCGAAACCGGGTTGGCTCAGTGGATAGAGCATCAGCCTGCAGACTGAAAGGTCCCAGGTTCGATTCTGGTCAAGGGTATGTACCTTTGTTTCGGGCACATCCCCAGTAGGGGGTGTGCAAGAGGCAGCTGATGGATGATTCTCTCTCACTGATGTTTCTAACTCTCTATCCGTCTCTCTTCCTCTCTATAAAAAATCAATAAAATATATTTAAAACAAAACAAAACTTCCCCTGATCTGACTCTAAATCACTCCCAGCCCCATCCTCCACAACAACCCCATCTCACTTCCCCCAGTCCAACGCCCCTCAGTACTAACAATGACAGCTAAGGTTTAATTCTCCAAATAATCCAGGAGAGAGGAATGATTATACTTTATAATGAAGAAACTGAAGTTTAGACAGTTGTGTAGCGTAGTTGGAAGGACAGCTGAACAATCTAATCTCTGAATCCATACTGTTTCCAGAGGAATGATAGCAGTTTTTTGACAAGTGGTTTTCAGAGGAAGTTTGTCTTTCTCCATATGCTTTTAAGGCCCGAAAAAGACCACGATTTCTGCCTGCACTGAGGCAGAATAGAGTCCTGCTGCTTGATCTGCTCCCAGTCCCAGTCTCACACAGTGCCTGGCATGGGGTGGGCTCTCAATCAAATGTGCAATAAGGGGACAAATTGTTGTCGTGGTTTTGGCAACTTGGCTCTTTACTCTGTTGATGTATGCTGCTCAGGAGACCATGCCAGACCGTTAGATACCTGCCATGCATTTGATTGGGTGGTTACACAGAACTCATCCAGACTTCCTGGGTATATTTCAAAAATGCATCACTTTGGATTTTGGACAATTACTAAGACTCTCTCTTTGCCATACAGAATGTATAGCTTGTAGGTATCAGTGTAATGGAGAGAAAGAGGCTATACACGGTCTAAGGGAGGGTAAAACCCACTTTTAAATCAAACTGTTCCTACCAGGGGTCAGGCAATCTAAACATCTTATATATAGGATGTCAACCCTCCCAAAATATATACACACTTTAACAGCAGATAACTCAGTTTTGAAAATGAAATGTATTTTAATAAATACTGCCTTTATAAGTATTCAATGTGTGTGTGTGTACATTTTTGGGGACACCCTATATATTAACTCATTGAATTCTCATAAATCATTACAGATGAGAAAACTGAGTAACTTGCCCAAGACAAATTTCCTCAGAGCTGAAATTTGCACTCAGGCAGCCCAGTTCCAGAGGCTTGGCTTAGCCACCATAGTAAATTGTCTTTCAGAGGTTGTCCACGGAAGGCAAGTAGAGAGAGGAGGGAAGCTGGGCAAGGGGAATGCATAACTACACTGTTGAGGTCCAAAGGAGTGAGAACAGGGCTGAGAGCCTGGCTGCTTCACTTGGGGCCCAAGAGAACCTCCTGAACTAGCCAAGAGCCAGCCCCACCTTCTTGGCTAGCAACTAGGTTACAGAGCAGTGCCTGCCAAGGAGGTGGCCGCTGCTTGTGCCAGAGCCAATTTCTGTTGGCAGCTCAGATTCTGCCCCTCACAACGGCAGCTCCAGAGGTGGCTCCGAGGTGTTTGGAGCCCAAGAAATGGAGAGAAGTAGGAAGTCTTCTGGATCATCCTCTCCTGCAATCAAACCTCAGCTTTGAGATGAGATGACCTGAGAGAACGTTGGGACTTCTCTCTCCTACCATGAGGTGCCCTAGAAGGTCTTTTGGCCAATTCCTCCTCCATTGCACCCCCAGGCCACCCCCTCCTCTTGAGCCCCAATGGCTGGAGCTCCATTCATTCCTCAATCTGGAAGAAATGCACAAAGTTTGGGGACAGTATAGAAAACAACAATAATGACCCTCCTCTACTCTCCTGAGGTTCACAGGAGACCCTTAGCTCAGAGAGGAAGAGAGCTGTCTTAAATACTTGGGTGCTCCTTTTCCTCCGTACTCATGTCACAGGCATTTAGTGTGTGCGGGACATTTCACAGATATTCATCCTCATAGCAGCCCTGTGAGGCAGGCTATCATTAGCTCCATTTTATGAATGAGAAAACTGCGGCATAGCACGGCTAGGTGTTATGCCCTAAGTCTCCTAGCTGGCGAGGGCTAGAGGCAGGATTCAGATCCAGGCGATCTGGTTCAGGCAGCTGTGCTCCTAATAACTCCTCTACGTATGTCAGTGCATCTTCAGCTGATTTGATAGCTTAATGGCTTTTGGAGTTGGGTGGGTAGGTGCCAGGAGTGGGCAGCATCCTTGGACAGCTTAGCCACAATATTAAACTGTCTTTCAGAGGTTGTTCATGGACGCCGTCCTCATGACCCCATCTCCCCAACAGCTATAGTCCTGTCACTCCCAGCAGTTGCCCACTTGGTCTCTGTTCTCAAAATCCCAGCCCTTAACCCCTCTGAGCCTCCATCCCATCATCTGGGAAAGTGAAAGTGACTCCCAAGATCTCCCTGTCCCTCTCAGAGACCGCTCTCCCCGTGAGGGAAACTCACAGATTTGGAAGTACTCCTCTCCGTAGCTATCCCGGGTTTCCTGAGGCAGTCGGTCCCACAGCTTCTGCAAGTGCAGCTTCATGTTTTGCTGGCCCAGAATGGATGTCCGATAGTTCCCCGGCTCAATGATGCTGACTTTCACCCCAAAGTAGTAGAGCTCACGCCTGGGGAAGAAGAGTTGGATTCAGCCTGAGACCCCCAAGATGACACAAGGTCATCAGAGAGAGTCACTTCTGACACCTCTATAGGTGCTGACCTCCCCCAGGAAAAACTGGAGGTGTCCCCCCTATCTTGCACCAGGCCAGGCTTTGCTTTCATGCAAGTAAGCCCTGTTGTAGGGCCTCACCCCTTTCCCAAGCCTGGTCTCTGGGCAATTCACATTGGGTAAATCCAGCAGGAGGAAGTTAACAAAGAATCTAGACTAAAGCCTGACCTCCCACCAGGTCCCTCCCACTCAGCCCCACACCCAACATTCAACATGGCAAAGGGAATGAGAGGTCAATGCAAAGCTTGCATTCTCCTCTGAGGGTCTCCCATGAGCATATCTGTTCCCAGGCCTCTCTGTCTGTTTGAGTGACAATCCTGCTTGCTCCCACAGGCCCAAACACGGTTTCACTTATTCTGGAACAGCTTAAGGGAAGGCACCACTCCACAGCCTTCTGCCTACTATTACTTTATTTTCCTCTCTTCAGAGCACCCCTGCCCACATGCTGCTGTTCTCCCCAACCCAGCCCTCTCTTTCTGAGGTGAAACCCCAGGACTCCCACCCAGAACGGTTTGGCACCCAGTCACCTGATGCTGTCAGAGAAGGCCTCAACACCAAACTTGGAGACACAGTAGCCACCGCCAATGACAGCTATACGACCACCAGAGCTGGACATGTTGACAACCCTGCCCCGGGCCTTCTTGACCATGGGCAGCATGTGGAGGGTCACGTCAATCAGTCCCACCAGGTTCACATTGATCACCTTCACAAAGTCCTTTTTGGTCAGCCATTCATTGGGGCCACTGGGCAGGCCCACACCAGCATTGTTCACCAGGGCCCAGAGGCCTAGGGGCAAGACAGGGAGAGAGAGAACCACACAGAAATCAGCAGTGTCTCTGGGAAAGTACCATGGTCTACCACCCAGCAGCTCAGGGAGTTGAGGATGGTTGAGCAGGAGCACAAAGCACAAGGCAGCCAGGCTAAGGCCTGGGATGGGGAGTTAGGACAACCCAAAAAGATGTGCTTTTACTAATTAGTTTTCCCTAAAGGGGCATTTTTTTTCTGATTCACATAGTCTGCCAGCTAGTTGGACCCTGTACCAGCTAACAATCCAGGCTTTAGCTAATGGCATCTAAGCCATTAGCTCTGGGAAAAGGGACATTATTTTCATACCAATGAGTAAATGTTTTAATTCTTTCCCCCATTATGCCCCCCCCCATGTTCCCCTGAGAACCAACTCTATTACACACATTACCAAAATTACTTCATTTATTCATCCAATCACACATTCATTTATTAATTCATGCACCTATTCTGTCAGTTACAGAGGAAGGTGCTAAAGACAAAGTGAACAAGACAGGGACTTATCCCTAAAAGAGCTCACAAACCAGAGAAGAAATAAATAACAGCTATACACAAATATATGAAGCATTTAAATAATGATGGGAAAAGTATGAAAAGGGCTCTCTGAGATCATTAAATTGAGTTGGTATATATGGAGAGAAATAATGCTAAGTATTGTCTTTCATCTCTGTAGGAACCCAGGCTTGAAGAGCTCAAGTTCAAGTTCTGGTTCTACCTCCAGCCTTGGACAAGTCACTTGCTCTCTCTGGACCTCAGATTTTGTGTTGACTGAGCTAGATTAGTTGTTTCCATCCTGTGGTTTGCAATCCTGGAGTTTCCCAGACTGAACCTCAGGACCTACTAAGGGAAGGAGATATAGGAGAAACTCAACTTCCATTTGTTTTACATATTGAACTTCCAAGTAAAATTCTACTTGGAGGAGAGTGTTTGGTGCTAACAACATGTTGGAAAAACCTCTAAATGATCCCTAAGGAGGACTTCCAGGCCTTTCATTCAGGGATTCCATGAGCCCCACCCACTTCCCTGGCTCCTTCCCTTCCCCTCCTCCATCACCACCCCTCCTTTGCTTCTGTAGCCTCAAGTACAACTCTAGGCACTCTTTCCACTTTTTCCTGAGGGCAGGTCTGAATGTGAACACCACTAGTGGGCCACCCCTTCCCCTGCACCTAGGCTCCATACAAAAGCCATGCCCTCACTCTATCTTCCTGACCTCCTCTAACTAGAGAGGCCCCCGGAGACCAACTGAGCCAGACTCAGAACCTTCTCAAAGGGGACTCTTGTTTTCAAAGGAGGAAATGTGGCTCCCGAGACCCAAAGACTATAAAACCCAAGTGGTCTCTGCCTGTGGAGAAAAAAATTCACACTCACCACTACCTCTAATCATCCCGGGTAAACAACTCAGCCTGCTGCGGAATCAGGACAATCTATCTATCTATCTATCTATCTATCTATCTATATAATATATATATCACCTTAATATATATATATCACCTTAATATATATATATTAAGGTGACCAGATGTCCTGCTTTTGGTGGGACAGTCCCGATTTTTAACAATTTGTCCCGAATCCCTTGGCGTTTTAAAAAAGTCCTGATTTTTGGAAAGATAATATATATATATATATATATATATATATAAATATATATTTATATATAGAAATATATATTTATATATAGAAATATATATTTATATATATAAATATATATTTATATATATTTATATATATTTCTATATATAAATATATATATTTATATATATATAAATATATATATATATTTTATATATATATATATTTTTTTTCTTTTTCTTTTTCTTTTTCTTTTTTTTTCCCCCCCCCTGCAAAGAGCAACTAGAGAACTGTCAGAGCAGTGAGAATAGCTTCAGGGTCAACCTGTCATGTCCACAGACTCTCAGGGAAAATAAGAAAGTATGCCAGAATGCCCTCCCTCCCATTTCCCAATGCTCCTTAGACCAAGGATGTTGCTCCCCAAAGATGTGCCCATATTAACCCCTGGAACCTGTGACTGTGGTGAATTACACGGGAAAGAGGATTAAGGTAGCAGATGAAATTCAAATTGCTAATCCACTGACCTTAAAATGGGAAGATTTTCCTGAATTAGCCAGATGAGCCCAATGTAATCACAAGGCCCTCCTAAGTGGAAGAGGGAGGCAGAAGACAGAACCAGAGACATGGCCGTGTGAAAAGGAGCCGACCTGACCTCCCTGGCTTTGCAGATATAATAGAAGAGAGTCGGGAGCCAAGGAATGCCGGCAGCCTCTGGAGGCAGGAAAAGGCAACGAAATGGACTCTCCCCGGAGCCTCCTGAAGGGTCACAGCTCTGCTGACGCCTTCATGTTAGTTAGCCCAGTGAGACCCATTTTGGACTTCTCATCTCCAGAACTACAAGATAATACATTTTCTGCTGTTTTAAGGAACTACATTTATGCTCGTTGATTACATCAGCAACAGGAAATTAATATACCCAGTGAATCATTAACACAAGTGGCCCAGAGTGAGGCAGCCAGTTGGAAAAAAAAAAAAAAAAAAAAGACTCACTCTTGCTGAGTTATTTATTACTTAGTTCATCCAACAAATATTTGGCACCTTACTAAATGCCAGACACTATTCTAAGTACTAGGGATATATAGTAAATAAAAGAGACAAAAAGCCATGCCCCCCCTCTTCCCTCTGAAGCTTTATCTCAGCAGGGGAAAAAGACAATTAAACAAACAAACAATGGATAATGGATACAGGTAAGTGCTAAGGAGGAAAATAAAATTATTGCATGGCTCCTTCTGGGTCCCAAGGCTCTCTTGCCCCCACCTGCGTGGACCTCAGACCAGTTCCCTTAGGTGTCAGGACTACACCTCTAGGCTGCTGCTTCTGCAACAGAGCCAACCTGTTCCTTCTGTCACACCCTTCATGCAGGAAGCGCCCTGGGCAGGTGCTTAGCAATCCTGGTCCAGCCCTAGCCGCAGCCCACAGCCTCCTTTCCCAATAGGATGAGCCACTCTGATGTCAGCACTTACTCTGAGTTCATCCCAATTCCACCATGATGTGAGGATCCAGCCTGACAGTCCAGGAGAGCAAACACCTCCACTCAAGGAATCTGACCTCACATTCCCGTCTGCCTTCCCCCAGCCTGATCCTGACAAGAGTTTATGGTCAGGACTATCCGAGAAGAGAAAGGCCCAGAGAAGAAACTCCATCTTTAGAGGTCTGGACATACAGAACACACCTTCTCTTCCTACCTCCTATGACAACCTTCCTGCAGCCCTCTGAGTATCTGGGGGAGAAACTTCCTGGGGAAATCAGCCCTTCGTGTGGACAGATCAAACCATGCAACAGTTTCCAGTCCCACTCTGCCAGAGCCTCAGCCCCTTTCTCTCCATCAGCTCTCCCACCCCATCTGAACAACAGGGTTAAGGGTCAGATGCCCGTAAGAGAAAGAGAGACAAAGGATAAGCTGAGAAAGCTAAAGAATACAATTCGCCCCACCTTGCTCGCCCACTTGGTCCCTCACCCACTGGGCCGCCTCCTGAACACTCTCACTCTTGGTGACATCCAAGAGGATGGTCTGCAGCCGGTAGGAGGTGTCTTGTCGAAGCTTCTGGGCCCCCTCCTCAGTGAGACATGCAGCCAGCACCCGCATGCCTCGATCAACCAACTGCTTGGCCAGTTGGTTCCCGAAGCCCGAGTCACAGCCTGTGATGAAGACATACTTGTCTGAGAGGTTGCGGACAAGGTTGCAGTTCTTGAACCAGCGATACATAAAGGAGAGGTCCGTGAGAGCCGCCATGGGGCAAGGAGGAGGTGATGGCCAAGAAGGATCGGGCTCAGGAGACGGCAGGAGAGGCTGCTCCTCTGACCCCGAGCTGGCAGTCTGCGGAGCCTGCAGAGTAGAGGTCTCCTCCCTTCCACGCCTGGCAACACACGCAGGGCCTCCGGGGAGCCACTCTATAATTTTTATAGGTGGATGGATGCATCACCACACCAATTAGCCTGGATGCAAGAAATTCAAGTCTAACCTGAAGTCCTGTCACGACAGATAGCCCTGGTGGATGCCCTTCTCTCTCCCACAGCCCTGATGGGTGAAGGTGCCAAGGATGCGAAGACCTCAGTGTTGATGTTGAGGCTGAGAAGTGGCTCCCCTCGGTGGTCTGAGCAGGATAAACAAGAAAGGAGGACTTGGCCCAGAAAGCTCCCTTGGAAATCCCCCACTTCTGGTCTAGGGATCAAAATCATTTGTTAGGAGGATAGGCATGTAAATAAACTTAATTTCTATCTTTAGAGGAAAAAACTAAGACAGATTCATTAATGTAAAACAAACAGAATTGGTTTTGTGCCTTCCAAACCCGAAGAGGAATTGATTCCAGGTTATTAGCTCTTTGGAATTCTCTGCCCGTAGGTAAGTCTCCATTATGAGAGATGATGTAAAAAAAGGTTCTCTCAGGATAGATATGTCTTCTGAAGCCAGAGGCAGCATGCCCCTCCTGGAAAGGAGACTGGAAGCCCCAATTCCTAGAAAGCAGAAAGATTGGGAGCCTCAGGGTCTGGGTTCTTGGGAGGAAGTACTCAAGTTGCCAGTGAAGAACCTCACTGCACTCCAAGCAGGCTCAGCTCTAATCGCCAGGCAAATGAAGAGAATGAAGGACTAAGGACACAGGGACCCCACAGGATATTTTGTTGTTAATCCTCACCTAGGGATATTTTTCTATTGACTTTTAGAGAGAGTGGAAGGGAGGGAGAGAGACAGAGAGAAAACACCTATGTGAAAGAGACACATCAATTGAGGGCTGGGGATCGAGGGCTGGAGATCGAGCCTGCAATTAAGATACGTGCCCTTGACTGGAATCAAACCTGGGACCCTTCAATACGAAGGCCGATGCTCTATCCACTGAGCTAAACTAACTAGGGCCCCACTGGGCATTTTTCTTCTACCCCCAGGACCAGACACACACAAGGTTATTGATCTGGTATCCTGGGGATCCTGGCAGGTGGGGTGGTGATGGTAGGGGGAAAGGGATTATGAAGTCAATTGGCACAGTGCTAGTTGGATGTACAGAGGGAAGGGAGGCCAGGAATTGAAGTAATTTTAAGGCATAGGGCTGATAACAGGTAGGATCATAGGTGGTAAGAGTAATAAGGGGCGACTAGTTGGGCATAGGGAAGGAAGGCCAGAGAAGAGAGAGAGTTCCGATATGAATATCAATGAGATGAGGTCTAGCCAGATGATGAGGATGGGTCCTGAGTTCCCTGGGCAGCTGCAGAAAGGCTCTGGGGCTGAGTCCATGGCACTAATAGGAAATGACATCTGGGAAAAGCAGAGGACTGGGGCCAGATGCTTGGAAATTTCTCAGGGTCAGGACTTGGGAAGGAGGGAGAGATTCTAAGCAATAGGGCAAAGAAGTCACAGAAAGGTTGGAGGGAAGCTGGTAAAGATAAGGAAGTAAGGCTATGAGACAGAGGTGTGAGTAGTGAGGGGTCACACCCAGGATTACATAAGATGCAGGGACAGAATGATGCCAGAGTTTACAGTGCTAGAGTCTTTGGCTAAACCTCTAGGGTCACCAACTCATTCCCAGAGACAGAGGGCCAATTGCTCATACCTTCCCTGACTACAGGGTCTGACACGAAGATCACTAGAGTGAAGGGTCAAAGATGCATCTCTGTGCTCCACGATCGACCAAGGTAGGTCAGCTCCAGAATCAGATAAAGCAGGTGGAAAAGGCCAATGAGCTTGGCCACTCTATACCACGGGTGGGGGGAGGAGGGTCAGCTCATGGACCCATCTTTGGGGAACAAACCCAAGGCTTGTATAGGAAGTGATAGAAGCAAACCTCACCTCCTTCATAACCACTCGAAGGCATAACACCTCCTACACTGGATCTAGGAGGCATTTCCCAACTCTGCTTCCTGGGTGAGTGAACAGGGAAGTCTTGATTGGGAGATGTCAGATAATGCCACTTGAGGGCTGAGCAGGTTCAGGAGTATCCTAGCTCTTGAGAAGACAGGTGAGACCCAGGGGTTGGCTTGAATCTTGAGTCTGCCCCAACACAGGCCAGCGCCTGGCTTGCCACTTCATGGGTCTCTCTGTTGACTGCTGGCTAAGACAGTGCTCTCCTGGGCTCAAACTCCTAACATCACAAAATCCAGGCCATGGATGGATGCTTGGAGTGCTGCAGGACCACACAGAAGGCTCTTTTCTTAGAGTTGGGAAGGCCACCCGCTCTCAGATAGCAGGACTTCCTGCTAAGTTGGCATCTGTGGCTGATGGGTCAGCCTGGTGGTTGCCCTCCATACCTCTCCCTCTGTCCACAGGTATCTTCAGTGAAGAGGGACCTTACCTTCACCAGGCCATTTCCATCCTGTGGGAGGGGGAGACTGGCCAAGGCCAAGGCACACTCTGAGGAGGTAAACAGGCAGAGAAGATGGGGCTGAGCCTCTTTTCAGTGTTCATTCTTTCCAAAAGTGTGAGTTCAGGGCCATGAAGCTTAGAACCTTGAGAAGCTGCTTAAGAAACAGGGCACGTATTGTGTGCTTTTGGATCCCTGTTCCTCAGCCTCAAAACAGTTCTTTCCTCCTAATTTCCTCAGAGTCTTAGGAGAAGCCTGGGGCAGAGGTAAGGTGGAGGGTAAGCCACATGATCCTAGAGATGGAGTGCTCACTCTCTCCACCCTATTTTCTTCCCCATAAAGCATCAACCCTCACATCGCACCCCAACTAGATCCTCCACGTACCCCAGTCTTGGTTTCACAGGACATTGGCAGGATTTGGGGAGCTCCAGTGGACCATAGCACCCACCAGGAAATAAAGCACATAATTCATGGAGAGGAAGGTGAGCTTGATCTCCCAGCCTGGTGAGTATCCAGTGCACTTCATGCAGTTCTCACCAACGATAAATTCAATTTGCATTTTTTCCAAAATATTTTTATTTATTTTGATGTCTGTTCAAAATGAGAAAGGATCCACACATACTTTTCCACCCTTCCACTCCAATTATTGGCTCTAGTTTGGGAAGTTTCAAAGAACTCCCTCTCTGGCTTCAGATTGCTCTTCAACATGACATGGTGGTCTCCAGCTCTAACAAACCTAAACCCTCTCTTTAAGTTACTAGTTGACCACACAGAATCATGGGTATAAAGCTAAATGTTCCACTGAGTGGGAGAGTCAGCCAGGAGGATGAACCTGAGACTGTCCGAGGCTTTAATGATGAAATCAGGCTCCAGAAAATGGTTTGCTCCTCTCCTCATGGTCCACAGCTCACTCACTAGACGCCAGGTGTTTCTCCTCATTATCTCCTTAACCTTTGAACTGGCCCAATCCCATGCCTTCTTGAAGGCATAAGAAACCATTTCAGGGTTGCTCATTGGTCTCAAAGGAATGGGGCTTCAAGATAGCAACCTTCACACCAAAATGGGAGAGCATCCCCTTATAGGGCACACTGGTAGAGGGGCAAAGACTTCAAAAGTCTTGAGAGAGATAACAAACGACACAATCCCAGAGCAGACTGGGGTGAATAAGCTTGAAAGCTGGGAGTGTTGTCAAGTGTAGCAGCCAATAGGAGAACAAATATGAAGATAAAATAGGCTCCGTGTAGGATTGAAATATTTACCCATATATATTTACATACATAAACTTATTAGCTTTAAATCCTGCCTATTCTAGCCCTAGCTGGTTTGGCTCAGTGAGTAGAGCATCAGCCTGTGGACTGAAGGGTTCCAGGTTTCATTCAAGTCCAGGGCACATGCCTGGTTTGTGGGCTCGATCCCCAGCAGGAAGCAGCCAGTCAATTATTCTCTCTCATCATTGATGTTTCTTTCTCTCTCTCTCTGTTTCTTCCTCTCTAAAATCAATAAAAAATATTTTTTAAAAATAATAAATAAATCCTACCTATTATGTTGCAAAGCATTGCTTAAACACTCTCTCCTCCTCTTTCTCCTTAAATTCTATCAATCTCCTCCATACTCCTCAGTCATCTCCTGCTCTTGTCAACTCCCTGGCAATCTGTCCTCTAAGGTGCATCTCTCTCTGCCTGTGGTCTCAGCTTCCCCACATTCAGAGCCATCCTCTGTCCTCCAGCCAGTGGGTTCTCTAGAGGCTGATCTGACAAAGTAGATCCCCTGATTTAATATTTTCCATGGGGTTGTGCTGCCACCAACAGCATGAAGGTCCATGGCCTATGCAGGGCCATACCCTTGTGAGCCCATCTTTCCAACATCCTTCCTGCCAGGCGGGGCCTAGATGTTTATCCCTGGTGGATCCACAACAGAGGCAGTCAATCATTACTCACCTTACTTACCTGAGCCAGGAAGCCTTCACTCTACTTTGCCTGGTTGCCAAGTTCAGTTCTTCACTCCTCAGCTCAGACCCTTCTCCATGACCCTCCCTTCATTCCATTGGCTACCACGCCACCATGGCTAACATGGTCTCAACCATCACAAGTGATGGCCGTACCATTTCTGTATCTCTTGTCCCTTTCTCTTGTCCCTTGTCCCGCTGTCAGAGATTTTAGGCCAGGGGACAAACCTTATTATCTTCAGGCATTAATTGTGCACTCACAGATGGCCCAGAAGTATCTGTAGAGTTGAGTCAAATGCTCTACCCCAGCTCAAAGACTCCCTGAACTGACTATCCTAGGGGTTAAGGACATGGACTCTGCAGCCAAGTTATTCAAGTTCCAATCCTGCCTTAGCCACTTTCTAACTCTGAGTCTTCCTCAGGGACAGAGTTAGGTTAAACCAAATTTTATAGACCTGGGGCCCTTCCTGATCCCCAAAAGATAAAAAAGTGCTTCCT